TGGCCCCGGGGCCGCCGCCTGGAGCAGAGGTTGGTGACACAGACGGCGCCAGAGTTTCTTATCCGAGGAACTCGAGGCCCTGGTCGGTTTCGAAGAGATGGGACTCTGGGTTTACGCACCGGAACGTTAGACTTACACGGGGCTCCGCCGCTGGTTGCGGGCCCTGTGCTGGGCGGGAACAGGCTCCTGGGGATTGGGCACGGGGTGGCGACGACTGCCCCCCGCCCCCAGTTCCGCCGAAAGAGAGGCGGTCAGGTCGCGGGGCCCCCGTCGCAGCAGAACACCCTGCGCGCACGTGGCCTTCCTCCCGGAGGGTAAAACCTCGGGCTCACCGGTGACCACCCGCCTCCACTCCTTCTCTGCAGGTCCGGGTCCTGCCCACCTGGCCCCGCAGGTGGAGAACTGCCAGGGCCCCTCGGTGTCCGGGAGCAGGGAGGGAGGAAAGGGTCATGGAGCACCTGCCCGGTCCAGGTGTGCTGGGTAGAGGAGGAAGGGGCCCCGCAGCTCATCTGAGGGAATGGCCGAGGGGCTGGCTCCAAGCCGCTAGGCCAGTCGGCGTCGCTGATGTTCGCGTCCTGGGGGCTTGGAGTTGGGGGGCGAAGAGAGGATGGCAAAAATGGAGCCTGGGACTAGGAGCTGGAGGAGAGAGTGGCTCCTGAAAGGTGGTAGGGAGACTGCGAGGTTGGGAGAAAGGGCAGGATGTTAATGGAGGACAGGAGATGGAGAGAAAAACTTCTCGCCCTGGCCGGTGGTTCAGTGGTTAGAGCGTCCGCCCGCTGACCCAAGGGTCGGGGTTTGATTCCCTGTCAAGGCATTGCAGGTTCGGTCCCCGCCCCCGTTGGGGCGCGAGTGGTAGGCGACGATGTTTATCGCGTGTTCTCTCTCTCTCTCCCTCTCCCTCTCCATCCCCAACCCCCTTCCACTCTGTCTAAAAATTAATGGAAGAAATACCCTCGGGTGAGGATTAAAACAAAAGCTCTTCTCAATAGCCAGCCTTGGCCCTCGAGGCCACGCCCCTAACCCCACCAGCCAGTGCACACCAGCGCCTGGAAGCCAGCCAACCCGACTTTGGTCGCCACCGCCCAGCGCCCTGCGGGTGCCCACTGATACCTCTGCCAGTTTCTCTCCTAGAGAGCCCCTCCCAGTGAGCGACTTGGGACCCCAGGACCTGTACCTCCTTCCCCAGCTGAGTGATCAGGACCCTAGGATTCATGCATGCACCGCGCTTCTCCGCCCACAAGGGTTTTTTTTTTTTTAAAGGAATGAATGTCCCCTTTTACCTTTTTAAATATATTTTTATTGATTTCAGAGAGGAAGGGAGGAGAGAGAAACATCAATGATGAGAGAGATGCTGCTTGCACACTCCCTACTGGGGATTGAGCCCGCAACCCGGACATGTGCCCCTGACAGGAATCGAACCCAGGACTCTTCAGTCCACAGGCCAACGCTCTACCCGCTGAGCTAACCGGCTAGGGCCCACAAGGGTTTGAAGCCTCTGAGGGAACCATTGGGAACAAGTCTGTAGAGACCACCAACCCCAACCTAGGAAAATGCCTCTGGCCAGACACTTCCCTGACTGCCAGAAAGCCAGCTATAGCAGCAGGGGGCAGTAGCAGCCATCACCTGGTGCATTTAGGGTTGCTGGCTCAGACCCAACCAGAGTGTATAGGGCTAGATGTAGATACAACAGTGATTTAGTAACAGCTCCCACCGTGCTTATAGGAGTGGCCAGCCTCTGGCTACTCACCACCTGGTCCTAAAGCTGGCCACCTCACACCACGGGTAGTCAGAGAGGTCCCCAAGGTGGAAGAACCTTGCAAAGCCCCACACACAAAGGCTCCAAGTCTCCAGCCATGGGCTGTCCCAGGAAATGGGGTGGCTATCATGTAGGGTGAAAGTGTCCCCACCCTTTTGAAGCAGGATCTTGAAAACGTGGAGAGCCACCCCCAGCCACCCCATATGGGGCTTCTAGGTCTCTCAAGTCAGGAGCAGTGGGTGTATGTGCACACTTCATTGGTCGTGGCCACTGTGATAACATACGGGAAGTGCTTTTTTTTTTTTTTTAATCTTTATTGATTTCAGAGAGGGAGAGGGAAAGAGAGAGAGAAACATCAATGATGAGAGAATCATTGATCAGCTACCTCCTGCACATCCCCACTGGGGATCAAGCCTGCAACGCAGGCATGTGCCCTTGACCGCAATCGAACCCGAGACCCTTCAGTCCACAGGCTGCCGCTCTATTCTCTGAGCCAAACCAGTTAGGGCAGAAGTGCTCTTTAAACTGCCCTAAGTAAGGCATCAACACTTGCCATTACTTGTGACTGGAAGACTACCTCGCAACACCCTCAGAATCAAGGATCTCCAGTGTGATGGTGTGAAAGCCTGAATCCTGCTATCAGACATGAGTGCTAGTACTGTACTAGCATCTCTGGTCAGTGGGTGATGGTGTAGTCACAACTGTTCTGAGGCAGTTTCCCCACCATCTATAAAGATCATCGGAAGGAAAACTGCTCAGTAAATCACAAGGCATCCTACAACTGCGAAGGCCATTCAGCCTTCAGATAGTTTTGTATCTTCCTCTCTTTTGCACAAAGTACTAATTTTATAGGCTGAGGCATATATTTAATATAAAATACTGGAAAATGAAGCTATAGTAGTTAGGTACTCGGTACAATTCTCTGTGTGTATACTGCTAGATGTAGATACAACAGTGATTTTGTAAAAGCTCTGGTGCCTATGCCCTATTTAACTCTGTAGATATTCCACTATGAGGTCATAGGATGGCCTTTGTAAGGTCTCTGTAAGCCAATGGTTCTTAAGGGGGATGGAGCCTGGACAGCAGCATCAGCCATCACCTGGGAACTTGTTAGAAATGCAAATTCTTGGGTTTCACCCTAGACCTACTGAATCAGAAACACTGTGAATCAGAAACACTGGTGTAGGGCCCAACAATCTGTTTTAACACATTCTACAGGTGATTTGTCACATGGTAAGCTTAGGAATTACTGCTGTTTGCAGATAAAGT